AAGATCAAATTAGACAGTGAGCAAGCTGGGCCTTCTCCATCTCTGTGCCTTTCTCGCAGAGTACTGAGAATAGGGTGTTCAGGTTTGTTGAATGACTAATGGGCAGAAAATTGACATTTTTAAACTGACGAGTGCTGTGTAACGTAAGCTATAATAAATCTTACACCTTCTGCAGTCTCGTGTTCATGTCCTCTTTGTGACCCTTGAGCTGGACAGGAAAGTGATCATCATTGGTCCATTCTGTCCTTTGTTATTTGAGTTGCCTTTCTCTGGACCTTATATAGTTCCTTACTGTATATTTTGGGAGGCTTAGGGCATGGTGAGGATACATTTGGGATTTTACACAAGAGTAAGTCAGTATCTTGCTGTCTCATTCCAAAATCCTTCCTCAAGAGAGGAAGCCTTTTTGTCCCCAAGAAAACATTGGGTGACTACAGGGAAGAATTGACAAAGATTTCTTTTCTGAGTTATAACTAATAGTCCACATTAAATTACTCAGAGTAGCTTATATTTACTTCATCTATTCTGTTAAGCTTAATGTGTCTTCTGAATAAATGTCCTTTATTAAAAACAAAATTATAAACTTTTACAGAAACATCATTTTTTGGGCTAGAGAACTGAAGATCATTCTCTTTCTTTCTGCTCCATGTAAGTGATACATCATCAAGACCTGTCAGTTCTTTTTTCCCAAGATAACCCAAATTGTATCCCTTCCTTCCTCTTCCCACTGCTGTTTCAGACCTTAACATCAGGATTATTTTAGAGGCCCCCTTGTAGGGTTCCCTACCTTTTGGCTTTTCCCCACTAACCCATCCTACACACACAGCAGCAACAGCCAAAGCTTTCCTCCCGAGATATAGTATGTCCCTTCTTTGCCATGAAATGTTAAATGGTTTCCCTTTGCCTATTAAAATAAAGTCCCAAACCATTTGGCCTAGGCTTGAAGGCCCTTGGTCATTGGCCCCTCAATGACTTCCCTAGCCTGATTTCCGCTATTTCATCCATGTCTTAAATGTGCCACGAGCATTCCCACTTCGAGGCCTTCGCTCAGGCCATTCCTTTCTTTGCAGTGCTTCCCAAACCTCACCTGAGCCTTTGTCCCAACTCCTTCAGGAAACCTCTCTATTCTTCCTGTCTCTAAGTAGACTTTCTTCCTTCTTGGTTTTTAATCCTGTGCCACCTTTCATTGTTGTCACTTAGTCTCTCCCCTCCAAGTAGATTTTTAAAAGCCCATGTTTGGCACCATGTCCTAGTTTGGTTCAGTTCAGCATTCCTTCCAGTGCCTGTTTCAGACCAGAACATGGACAGAGGGAGCCTCCGCTGGGGCAGGGCTAAGGCACCAGCCCACAAACAAGCCATTCTGTGGTACAGAGTGCTATTCCCTGGAAACCTTCTCAAGGGTTTTTCTAAATAGAAGCCGAGACTAAAGAAATGAGTATGTTCACCCATCATTTCCCTCCCTATCCTCTCCCCGAAGCAGTTACTCTTCCTATGCCCCCAGTCACTGTGGTCCTAGTCACCAGACTCATCTTTGACTCCTCACCCTCTCTCAGCTACAATCCCACACACATTACAGATTTCCAAGCACTTTCACACTCATGGTCTCTTCCCTGTCTCCCATTGGCCAGGTTTTAGAGCGGAGGGCTCTGAGTGACCAACAGGAGGAAATGATTGGCTCCAAGGCCCATCAGGATTTAATATGGGCTGAAATCCAAGCCTTTCCCCTGCCTTCCTCTCCTGAGATTTTCTATTACCTTGCAGCCTTTCTGATTTGTTATTACCTGGGAAATCTTCCTTGAGTTGATTCTTGTTCTTCCATTCCTTTTACCTAGACCATCAAAGTTGTTTTTCCCTTGAACTTTCCAAAGTTAAGTTTCCTCTTCCAATCTAGCCTTTGTCCATCCCACCAGATTTATATGGCCATAATAGAACTCTGGTCATTCACTGATATGAGGAATTCTTAATCTCAGGAAATAAACTGAGTGTTACTGGAGTGGTTGGGGGTGGGAGGGATGGGGTGGCTGGGTGATAGACATTGGGGAGCGCATGTGCTACGGTGAGCGCTGTGAATTGTGCAAGACTGTTGAATCACAGATCTGTACTTCTGAAACAAATAACGCAACATATTTTAAGAAAAAAGAAAAAGAAGAAGATAACAGGAAAGGAAGAAAAGGGGAGTATGTCAGAGGGGGAGACGAACCATGAGAGATGATGGACTCTGAAAAACAAACTGAGGGTTCTAGAGGGGAGGGGGGGAGGGGGATGGGTTATCCTGGTGATGGGTATTGAGGAGGGCACGTTCTGCATGGAGCACTGGGTGTTATGAACAAACAATGAATCATGGAACACTGCAGCAAAAACTAATGATGTAATATATGGTGATTAACATAACAATAAAAAAATCTTACCTAGAACTCTGGTCATGTCACAACCCTGCTCAAAAACCTTCAGTGGCTCCCCACTGCCCTCAGATCAAAGTCTTAGCATTCAAGTTCTTCCTGCCTATGCCAAACTGATCTTTAAACATTGTTTCTTCTTCTATAAGTAGCCTTGGCCTCACTCAGATTAACATTCTAGGTTCTCCAAATGTGCTCCTATCTTCCCTCCTCTGAATCTTCTTACTCCCATGTCTTATGCCTGAAATGTCCATTCTCAGTCTCCAATGTCTGAATCCTTACAGCCACTTCCAAGATCACTTTCTCCCTAAATCTTTTCCTGGAGCACCTACCAGCCACTAGGCATTGAGGAAAATAAAGACAGGTCACAGACATTGCGCCGGGCCCCAAAGCAACTCACATCCTACGAGAGACAGACAAATACAGCTACAAGAGAGTGGAATGAGAGTTGTAATAAAGAAGCACATGGTATTTCCTGACCTCTGTTTGTTGTTCCAGAGCTGACTATGGGTAGTCAGAAATTTCCCTGGGAGTGATAACCTGAGCTGAGATCTGGAAAATGGTGGTTAGCCAGAAGCCAGGACAGATTTCTCCTCTTTGTAGATCTGGAACATTATAAAGAGCTTGGGAAGCCAGAGAGTGTTTCTTGGGCCATCCTGGAGCTGAGTGTGAGGGAATCATAGAGGGAATCAATCAGAACTTGATTCTGAGGGCAATAGGGACATGTGAGTGGCGCCTGGGTGGCTCAGTTGTTGAGCAGCTGCCTTCAGCTCAGGTCCTGATCTCAGGGTCCTGGGATTGAACCCCGCATCGGGCTCCCTGCTCGGTGGCAAACCTATTTCTCCCTCTCCCACTCCCCTTGCTTGTGTTCCCTCTCTCACTGTCTCTCTCTCTGTCAGATAAATAAAATCTTTTAAAAATAAAAATCGGGACATGTGAAGTGGCAAAATCAAATTTTGTATGTTGGAAGTGTCACTCAGGCTGTGGTGTGGAGATTGGCAGGAAGGGCCAGGAAGAAATGGGCTTTCTAGGGCCTGTGGACTCCCTGGAGTACTTTTTTTTTTTTTTTAGGTTTTTTTTTTTTTGGAGAAAAAGAAAAAGCAGGGGGGGGGGGGGGGGGGGACAAAGGGAGGGGGAGAAGCAGACTCCCTGCTGAGCAAAGAGCCTGATGCGGGGCTCCATCCCAGGACCCTGAGATCATGACCTGAGCTGAGGGCAGACGCTTAACCAACTGAGCCACCCAGGCACCCCCAGAGTACTTTTTTTAAGTAAGAATTTAAATTCTGAATACATTCAGAAAAGTGGACAGATCCTATGTGTAACAGTTCAATTAATTATTATGAAGTAAACCCACCACTAAATCAAGAAATGTTCCCAACTCCAGAGAAGCTCCCCCTACCAATCAGTACCCCTTCCCCCACAAAAGTAACCGCTTTATGACTTCTAAATCCATAGATTGTTTTTCTCTGTTTTTGAAATTTACATAAATGAAGTCATGAAGTATTTTTTGTGTGTCTGGCCTCTTTTGCTTAACATTGTTTGCAAGATATATCCATGTTGTTGTATGCAGTGGCTGTGTAGTATTCTGTTGCATAAATATACTACATGCCTTATATATTCTATCCTTTCTTTTCTTTTTCTTTCTTTCTTTCTTTTTTTTTTAAGTAGGCTCCATGTCCAGCATGGAGCCCAATGCAGGGCCTGAACTCATGACCCTGAGATCAAGACCTGAGCTGAGATCAAGAGTCGGATACTCAACTGACTGAGCCACTCACATGCCCCTATACATTCTATTCTTAATGGGCATTTGGAATGTTTCCAGATTGTGTCTATGACAAATAGTGCTGCTATGAATATTTTTGTATGTATCTTGGTACACTGTATGTGAATTTTTTGGAGTATATACATAGAAGTAGAATTGCTGGGCCATAGGTTATATGTATATTATAATTTAATAGCTAACCAGACTGTTTTCCTAAATTGCTGTAGCAATTTACATCCCCACCAGCAGTGTGTGAGTTGCTGTTGCTCTACTTCCTCATCAACACTTACTTAGTGTTGCTAATCTTTTCCATTGAAGCAAGATCTCGTAGTCATTTCCCTAACAACTAATGATTAGTGAAGTTGAACACTTTTTTACGTGTGTATTTGCCATTTAGGTGTCCTCTTTCATGGTATTATCTTTTTGTGTTCAAATCTTCTGCTCATTCTTCTATTTGGCTGTCCAGGTGTCTTTTTCTTCTTGGTAGAGTTCTTTACGTATCCTGGACACAAGCTCTTTGTTGGTTTCTTTCATTCTATAGGTTGTCTTTTTGGTTCTCTTATTTGTGTATTTTAGTGATTAGAGGTGTGGTTTCTAATTTTAATGTGGTCCACTGTATCTTATCTCTTATAGAACATCTCAATTCTGACTAGCCACATTTAAGTACTCAATAGTCACTTGCATGTTCATGGTATTGGACAGAGCTGTTCTAAAGTTTTATTGTTTTGTTTTTCTCATGTAGAGCTATAATACACATAGAATTTAGTTTAGTGTATGGTGTGAGATTGGAGTCAGGTTTCATTTTTTCCTATATGGATATACAACTGACCAAAAACTATTTGTTTATTTATCAGAACTATTTATTGGAAGCATTATCCTTTCCTCACTCCTCTGTTGTACCTCTCTGCCATAAAGCAAGTGTCTATATATGTGTGGTTCTCATTTTGGTCTCTCTATCCTGCTTAATTAGTTTGCTTATCCCTGCATCAGTATCACACTGCCTTTGTAGTTAGCTTTATTAGTCTGAACCCAGTATATTTTGATGGCAGATCTCTAATAGAAAGCATTTAGGATCTTGGCACTAAAGACAGGGCAAAATAAGGAGCTTGGGTTCAAATTGTGACCGCACCACTCTTGTGTAATCTTGAGCAAGTTAACCTTTCCATAAACCTCAGCTTGGTAGGTATGAGGATAAATGTGGGGCATCAAAGAGGAAGAATTTACTCTGCACTTCAAGATTCTTCCAGCTGGACAAAGAATCAAATTCACCTGCAACAGATTAACAGGAGAAAATCAAATTTAGTTTCGTATATGCAGGGAATACACACACACACACACACACACACACACACACACACACACACACACAATTCCAAACACAGCCAACATGAGGCTTATATGAGACAACCTGAGCTGAGGATAGGAGCAAGGGTCTGGGGATACAAAGAAGAGAAAGGCTCCCTTCTATTAGCAGGAAGGTGAGATTGCTTTGAAAAACAAAAGTTGCCCTGAAAGTTTCTTAGGTAAAGAGGAATCTGTGTTAATAGCTCTCTTCCTGGTACAGGTAGGCAGTTGAAGGGGAGGTAGAGAGCTTTTCCTAAAACTGCTGGGTTTTGATGGCTTTTAGTTCAAGATAAGCCTCATGCCAAAGTGCCCCATCGTGGGGTGGCCTGCCCTTGGCCCGTATAGGAACTATTTATATGATAGTGTTGTTGAATTGGTTTCACGGGTATAAAGGGCTTGGTAATGTCTGGCAGAGTAAGCTTCAATAAATATTCATGAGTGAGCTGTGTGTTCATTTGAGTGATTGTTTTTCTTTTAGACGAGCCCCCAGAGGCTTTAAGGGCAGGCCCTCCATTACCTAGCCCTTCCCCTCCCATCCCTTAATGCCTAACACGCCGCCCTCCACGTAGTAGGGGGCTCAGTAAAAGCTTGTTGAATGGATCAGCCCAGCTG